CCGGTTCTCCCACCTCATCATCATCCTTTCCCTCCCGGTCATGTTGTCTCTCTGTGTACAAGGGTATACACAGAGATGCTATCCTTTTGCATCGTGACGGTGAGCTCACTACCCTAATTGTGTGTGTTTGTCTGTGAAATAGACGGGAAACATAGTTCTCTTCGGAGCTTGCGAAGAAGAGAAATCTCGTTTCCCGTCGGCTGAACAGACAATCACGTGACCCCTACCCTGATACTAATTATTCCGCCCCTTTACCCTCTGACCCTTCCTCCCTAACCCTCGTAAGGGTCATTCGTGGCTCAACCTTTCTCTGTACGGTCACATTCCCACCCAACCCTCCCATGACTAACCCGAGAACACCTGGATTGTAGAACGTTAGTTATGTTTTCTCATCTCATAAGACATCGTGCTACCTTAGTTCTTACTGACTTATCTAGACTCGTACATTCGTCATGGCACTGTACGTTATCCTCAATGGTACCTGCGACTTAGCGTACGTATCAGTTGTTACATAACCTTCATGTTGTCTCTTCTCTGCAAGATACCTGCCTTGCTAGCGTTCCCAGTCACATTGTGGCCATTTGCTGTACTCAGTATGTTGTGTAGCTGTAACCTCTGATATACTCCAGAATTGTGTTATTGTCGTATTTTGAACCACGTTACTTACGAAGGTCAGTAGTTATTCAGGTGTACCTGTAACGCATCACTTGCTTAGCCAGGATGTTTTCAACCTTGTTCACGTAGATGAGCTTTTGAACTTCGCCGGTTAGAAGTTACTTACAAGTCAGGATGCGTTAAACATCCGCTGGACAGAGCATTGGTTTAACCGACCAGCCCGACTTTGGCTAAACAATTGGCAACCAGGGTAAAATAGGTCGCCAGCTCGCAGCACATGACTTGTTGTTGTTGTATTAGGCTCCTGTATAAGTATGTACATGCTATGAGAGCTACAATGTGTAGAGAGTAATGGTGTTACTGAATTGACGAGCCAATTGCAATAAATGCCCGACCGTACTGAGGTGACGGTGAGCTCACTACCCTAATTGTGTGTGTTTGTCTGTGAAATAGACGGGAAACATAGTTCTCTTCGGAGCTTGCGAAGAAGAGAACCCCCATATTTAGCCTCAGAATAGCTGGAGTTCCTGGTACATACCTCCTGTAGTATTATGTGTTAGGGTTGGGGCCGGACATAGATCTACATGTATGTGTTAAGGTTAGAATAGACAATGGTGTTTACTATCTCCTATGTCTTACAGGCCCTCAACAATGCCCTTAAAGCAGAGAAGCAAGCCAAGCTGGAATTGGTAAGAAATATACATGTATATCTTAGAATAGAATCTTAGAAACGTATTGTACAGTCACTATAGTGCAATTATAGTAAAACACTGTTCTGTTTAGTAGGCAGTGGATGTCAAACAAGGCTAAGGAAAAAAAATGTTGTGTTTCCTGTTTCAGCCTTTAAAAAATTAGAGTTGGTAAGTAGGGATTATACATGTGTATTTTGTTTCTTTTTTTTAATTAGACTGTTGCAATCTCTAGTGATCCAACTTGCGATCCAACTTACACAGTTTAACAAAGTAAAACATGCATGAGATCACTTACATTTGTATATTTTCAATGGCAATATTGGAAAAATTGACTGTACAAGGTTTCATCACTGAGGTGTCAGATCATGGAGCTAGAAAAGGCTGATCACCTTGAAAAAATTATGTCCCTTGCAGGGGTCCACACAAAAAATAGGCTAGGGTTGGCAGTTTTTTCTAGGGTCGGTCAGGAAACAGGAAACACAATATTTTTTTTCCTAGGCCCAAGGATGACATGTCAGTAGTGATTTCTTATGCAGGTGATGGACTATGTTTGGGAGATACCATTTTTGGCTGATATCCAAAATGTCTGTCTGATCTGCACTAACAGATCAATATTGTCATCAACTCTATGCATATGTTACTGTCTAACTCTTGATATCCGTCAACTGTAATGTTTTTAATAGTTTCATACCAAACTTCATTGAATCATAGCAATATAAACTGGTTCACATAATTTTCATGATTTTGCAAAAATAAGTTGTTCATTTTGTATTAAAAAAACTTTTTCTTTCCCCCGTCGATTTTCTTATGCGAATTGTGTTTGTTCAGTTTTTCTAAACATGTTGTCCAGTAAAATCCATTTTTTATCTATTCCTCAGTCACAGAAAATGAGGAAATTTTATTGAATTAGTGTAGGAAAATTGAGGAACATTATTATGAAGACTTTTGGCACAGTGCTATGCTTATGACTCCAGTTGATGTCTTGTGGTTTAAAAGCAGTTCAGAGAAAGATAGTGGAAATTTACATGTACATTACTATGTTTTTGCCCTTGAGAAGTCTGCATGTGTGACCCTCATGGATTTCTGTTTTACTAGTCAGGGCTGGAAATACTGAGTGCATGTGCACCTTAGTGCACCCAAATTTGGAGCTGTGCACCCAATTTTTTTCTGTGGGTGCACTGGTGCACCCAAGTATTTTTGTAGGTATTTTTGTACATATTAAATGTATAATAGTATACAGGATATTCTTGGCATCTAAGTGTCAGAAAAATAGTAAAATCTTTGTTGTTGTACTTGTTTAAGATTTTGAAGTTAGCTCCCATTTCAGATTCAAGCTTAGAAGAGGAGCAGTAAGATCTGTAATTAGGTTTTATTTTATATTGTGCACCCAAAAATTTTTCCGTGCACCCAATTTTTTAGGTTGGGTGCACCAGTGCACCTATTCCCAAAAATTAATTTCGAGCCCTGTAGCACTGTTAAATCATCCCAGTTCTTTCAGGGAACCATATAAGTGTCAAATTTTCCTATGGCAGTGCACTCGGATGACTGAATTATTGATAGTTCATACACCATTAGCAGAATATCCGTCTGCCAACGCCCTGTAATGTCCTTTGGCTTGGTCCATTTTAAGTCTCTGTAGACTCTGTAGCCTTTATCAGGCTGTAGGGGCAGTGGGTTGTTAGTCCATTGTGCGGTGTTAGAATGCAGAGCCCATCCCTCTCCTTCCAATGCCTTTTACCTCCCTAACTGAAGTCAGGTACCCATTTTATAGTCTTTACCAGACTAACTACGCTGGCAATATATAGGAGAATATTTGCCAGGGGAGTTTGTCCGCCTTGTAGGTTTGACTGGCCGCGGAGGGAAAGAAACTACCTCCCCGCGGCTGGACTACCTTGGCCACTTTTCCTCTCTTTTTTGCCGAATTCTACGATCCGTATTCCTGTAGAAAGGCCTTGTGGAGGCTACCCATTTTACACCTGAGTGGAGTGAGGAAAGTCGTGTTGAGTGCCTTTGCCTATAGGACACAACATGTAGCCAGGAATGCCAAGGCAGGGATTGAACCTGTCAATGTTATGTGCTATGGCCTAGCCACTCTAAGCCATTGGATCTAGATTTTTTTTCTTCTATAATGTGCTAATATAAAGTAACAATAGTTTAACTATTTACCTGGGTTGTAACACTACTGGGTAATCATTGGTTTACAGCAACTGCAAGGTTCTAGCTACATGCAGAAGTCCTGGTGGTGGAAAGAAGATGCCAGTGTACTCTTGTTTTGAATGACTGGAGGTTGTTGTCAGTGATCAGGCTTACCACGTTGTCTGGGAGACTGTTCCAAATGTGTACTGCAGTATGTATGAAAGTTCTGCCGGTGGAGTGAGTTCTAGAGACCGGCACAGTGAGGGCATGTTTTCCAGTGGGGATACCAAGCCTTGGAGAAATCCTTGCTTAACATTTCTCTGTTTTTTTTTCATCAGGCCAAAGTACGTAGAAAAGCTCAGGAACAGGAGGAAGACCTGGGCACTAAACAGGAGAACATCGACGCACTTATAGATGCAGTCAGGGCTAAGGACAGTATCATCAAGGTGGGTAAAGTCATGCATGAAATACTGGACATCACTTTATATTTGCGGAAGCAAAATTTCTCACAATGAAATATAACAATTGAAGTTAATTAGACATGCATGGGAGGGCCAGAAACCTGATGGTTTATCTTTGGCCCTTCCCTGATTAAAAGTTACCATTGATACTGAATGCAACAAAATTTAAACAAAGAAGACAAAAATAACAGGAAATTAACAAAAACAATTCGAAGAACTAATGAAACAATACAAATCATCTTTCTGAACAAATAAAGAAGATCAAACTATTTAATCTAGTTATTACAGTTCTACAATCTAGTTAGTTCAGAAGAAGGAAAGTCAGCAAATTATTTGTTTGTGGTAATGATAAATTTGCAGTACAGAAGTGACCATGAATATAAAAGCACCACAAATATAAAGTACTTTTTTGTATACCTGCAACGTTTGTCTGTATTGAAAATTTTAAGCACAGAAATAATACCAGAATTGAATACTGAGTTGCAAAACCCATTGTACAATCATAACGTGAGAATTGTGACCAAAGCTACATGTTTACAAGGTTTTAAATATATTTTTATAGGATCTTGAGAGGAACCAGTTGTCTTCCAGGCAATCCCAGCGAGGGGACCAATCACCGAAGGCCAAGCAACAGGTACTCAGTGGGAGAATCCATTTTTAGCAGGGGGGTATTTCTACTTGATACTTTACCTAAAAGTGGCTGATTTTCTGTATCAGAATCTGTTGAAATCATTTAGTGTATACTAACATAATTCTACCAAGTTGTATAATTCTATCCACCACCACAAAATAATGCAACATCACCCTATATAATGTACATGTACTCCAGGACCTGCAAAACTTCATATAATAATATAACAAGTTACTAGTAGTGCCTGGGGGTACCGCACTAATCTTTCAAATGCCGCTTTTCGAAGTGGCGGATACATGTATATGTAAATGTCAAAGGTATTCACTGAAATTTCAGGGTGGAAAACTTGATTTTCAACCTCAATTTCTGGTTATTCTTTTAATGTACATGTAGTACTAGTAAGTTGAATCAACCCCTTTCCATAGACTTATATCTGTGAGGCAAAAATGTGATGTCTTTGACAGAAAACAGTTGCTTGCTTCTTATAGTAGACTAGCTCTACATGTAGTTATTTATTAGTGGGACCCAAAAATAAAAGGACTCCTCGCGTTGCTTTATTTTGGGCCATCTCAAATGCTTCAAAGTAGGAAATGATGACAAAAATGTGCTAAGAAATGGCAGTAAATGTCAATATCAGACAAAATATTTTCTTTTTGTTTTGCCGTCCTGAAATATCATTGGACGCATTTGATAGAGGTTAACATTTTCTGTAAAGGAAGATATTAAGGCCACACCAATTTAATTTGTTGTTTTTCAGATTCGCCCTTTCCATTTTTTTCTGATTTTCAAAAAGAAAAAATTTTTTGTTCTAAATCACTGGCAAAATGCTCAATGAAAGACATATTTTGGCCCCAACGGTTGAAGAAAGTCTTTCTAGTTGTTAAAGTTTTGCAATGTAACAATGCAATTTTGTTTTATTAAAAGTTCAATATCTATTGTTTTAATTATAAGCCAGCCTGGTATGTTCACTTCATGGCTCATATTGTAACATTCCCGGCTACCATGGGGTGCCTTGGCCTGTTTTTTCCCCTGTTGCTTCATTTTTTTCTTTAAAAAATCCGAGAAACAACAAATTAGATTGGTGTGGCCTAAGAGTGCATTAGAAATACGCATCTACCGGTATTGACTACAAATGTATTTTACAGGCATGTTATGTCATCGCCTAAGTGGATATAGTACAGGTCACAGGTTGATCTATTACAGTCAATGTAAGAGTTATTGATTGACACAGTACTTGAATGGTCGACCAGGTTGATGTTTGTTAAACCCTGTTTGAACAGGGACGACAATATTTACTCAAGCCCAGTCGATAAAAGTCACTTCTGCGCTGGACGGTTTTTCCCTCGGAGCCAAATGCCAAAGCACCGCGTTTGTTGCACGGCAACGCTCAATGAAGTAGTTCGGCCGCTAGATACCACGGATTTGACGCCCTTTTTAGAGGCTTAACCAGAACATTCATACGGTGCTATAAATGTCTCAGGGAAGGGAAGGAACTCTCAAAATAGTCAATGTATCGTTAGTGTCCTTTTCTGCAGCAAAGCAAGGTATTGTTGTTACCCCTTCCCTTGTCAAATTATAGCCTGGTACCATCCAGATTTTCGCTCCGCAACACTCAAAAAAATACATCCGGATTTTCGCTCTGCAACGTTCGAAAAAATACATGTACATCCGGATTTTCGCACAGCAATGTTCAAAAAAGTACATCCAGATTTTCGCTCCGCAAAAGATTTTTTCAAGCATTGCGAAGCGAAAATCCGGATGGTACCCAGGCTAGTCAAATTGTGCTAGGTTTATTTTCCTTTCAGGTGTAACTATTTGTTTTTCATGGCTTAATAGGTCCTCTAGCACTCTTGTTGCAACATTAGAAGGAGAAATTGGGAAAAGATGGCAATCGTACATTTTTTATTGAAAACTACATGTACACATGTAGTAGTAGACTAATGCTTGATCTAAAAACAAGTGCAAATGACATTGACTCCTTACGAATTGGTAATTTAATTACCAATTCCCAGTTGCTTGCATTTGTCAAAGGTGGGTCTTCTTGACAGTAATGGTGTATTATGCACTTGTAACCTGATTTTCAATACGTCAGTCAGTACAAAAATCCAACCAAGCCAGATAATTTGATTAAGTGGGAATATCATGTTTTTGGCTCCTTCCATGAACTAAGGGTAGTGTGCGTACTCCAGTAGTTAGCGACCCTGCATCTGGACCAAGAGGTTGGGAGTGCAAATTAGTGCACATGTCAGTCATGTCAGGAAGGGGTTGCAGTCCTTAATATGGGATGTTAAGCTGTGGTCCACTGTTCTACATGTACATGTGTAACCGAGGTGGTATTCACCGGGTTCTTTTAGGATGCTGCACGGGAGACTAACTACAGGGCTAGCAAGAACACACGCAGGACATAGGCATTGCCGTCACACACGCACGGGAGACGATGGGGTGGGCCAGTCTCTCTCTGTAACCTTCTCGCGAGCTGTCTCAGACTGTCCTCTAGACTATCCTCCCAACCCACCGAACACCCAGCTTTTATTGTCAAACCACAGACTGGACACATATTGCAATGCAGACAGTCGTCTAGCAAGGGAACAACACAATATTTCGCACCCATACGACAGGTCCTTGATGTTCCTATCATCATAGCCTCGAATTAGCATAACCAGATTAACATGCTGGCCACAAAAACTTCAAAGACGATGGCCTCTTACAATATGCATAAAAAGTGTCATTTTCAACCCCTTACACCCACCCCTATTTAAATGCGAGCCGTCCCGGCGAGAGTACAACAGCTTTTTTTTTTTGTACATAAAAACAACAAATTAACTACCGCAAAACATATATGACATACAAAATAAAACAGGATGCAAGCAGTACACATGATACACAATTGCAATTCCTCACCTAGGCATGGAGGATATTGTTTCATAGAATAGATCAAATTAGAAACATAAGATAAGGAGTTCACATATTAATAGAGTTCAGTTTGCTAGGCGTTTACAACTTCCAAAGTTCGTCAGAGTTCAGGTCCGTGGAAACGTCGCTTCACGTCAACGTTCGCCGGCGTCACTTGATCGTCGCAGCTCTCGTCTCCTCCCTAGGACTCGTCTCTCGTCCCTCAGCCTCGTCCCTCAGCGCGCGTCAAGGCTGCTTACCAGGTGGTGGTTCCAAGCTGTGCTCCTCCCCTCCTCCGTGTCGCTGCAAGGGGCACGAACGTCCGGCCGCAGTCGCCCCTCAGTTGCGGTAGCTCTCACCGGTCCTTAGTCGAAGGGTGTCCGGCGAAGATAGCGTCGCTGCAGGGGTCCCCGTTTGGGTGATGACTCGGACGGGCCGCTCTTCCGGGATCGGATGGCGCGGCGGTAATTGACCTCTCCATCGCCAAGCTTCGATGTCCCACGTGGACCTATGCAGGAATTGGGGACGAGAACACACAAACACACACACCCAGCCTGACCGCCATAACTAACAAATAACTCTAACTTCAACGTACGGGAGAACCAACTCCCACAGAACTCTGTCTCAACACCATATTCTCCAACAAGCGACATTAATTCCACCGACCCACACGAACTAAACTAAACAGTGACAAAACTGACAAATAAACTCTCATAGAAACAAAAGGATATAATGCTTTCCTTACAAATCTCGCAAACTAGGCCGACCGAGGCTCGCTCGATACACATCCTACCCTAGGAGCACGTGGATCTCGACTTCCCAGCTCAAACCACGGCAGTCTGAATAGAGCTCCTCACAACCTACTCTACTTGATTCATTATTGTGGAAACATTTTAATCCTCTCACACAAATCAGTGCTCCAGGTGATAAACATTTGCTTTCAAAGACAACAGCCAAATACAACAAACGAAAGACAACAAATTTGGACACAATGCTAACATAAATATAATTCAACCGGCCAAACTGCCAACCTTTTAGATATTCAAAATCCTGGACATACTAACAACTCCTGACTATACAGGGCACCCCTGTTCAAACTTGGGATACAAAACCTCAGACGTCCAGAAAAAGATAAAGATAAACCACTTCTAAACCAACTATCGAATACCGTTACTTAAACATCTGCATACACGACAAGACTTCCAATCCCGGGCGACACAATCTCCTGAAGGACCGTAGCCCAACCCCCGAAGTCTGGGTTTCCCCGGAGATTACGTACCCATAGCAGATTTTCTTCCTACGTAAAACCTACATAATAAGAATCCTGACATCAAACCTAACAACCTCAACTAAACTCTGAGCCAACAAAACTAAGCTTTGGGCGGTCTGACATTGTGCGCATGAAGTTCTCACACCCACCGCATCACACAGGCACACTCATTCGGCCGACTCCTCTGGTTCAGCAGTCCGGCTGGCCGCCCAGGTCTTCTCCCGGTCACGGCCCTGACGCCTCGTGGTCTTGGCTCTCCCGGCCCTGCAGTCCGCACCTCCATCATCAGACTCCCGCCTCTCCGGTGCGGCTCTCCAGCTTCGATCTCGCAGCGTCCTGGTCCCACAGCCGACCTGCTGAGGTCCGATTGTCTCTGGCGTCGGTCCTGCCCTCCCGTGCGCGGCTCCGGCCCTCCTGGTCCTAGCGTGGCTCTGCCCTGCAGCGTCCCCCTAGATGGTGGTTTAAACAGCATCCCATCCTCGTCGCCAAATGTAACCGAGGTGGTATTCACCGGGTTCTTTTAGGATGCTGCACGGGAGACTAACTACAGGGCTAGCAAGAACACACGCAGGACATAGGCATTGCCGTCACACACGCACGGGAGACGATGGGGTGGGCCAGTCTCTCTCTGTAACCTTCTCGCGAGCTGTCTCTGTCTCAGACTGTCCTCTAGACTATCCTCCCAACCCACCGAACACCCAGCTTTTATTGTCAAACCACAGACTGGACACATATTGCAATGCAGACAGTCGTCTAGCAAGGGAACAACACAATATTTCGCACCCATACGACAGGTCCTTGATGTTCCTATCATCATAGCCTCGAATTAGCATAACCAGATTAACATGCTGGCCACAAAAACTTCAAAGACGATGGCCTCTTACAATATGCATAAAAAGTGTCATTTTCAACCCCTTACACATGTATACTTGTTGGAGAGAGCTAGTGGAATTCCCCCGTACAATGAACCTATAAATATTGTACAATAGCATTTGTCTTCTCTGTCACGACCAGTGGGAAATTAGCTTTTCAGTGTAATAGACTTTTTTTTCTTCCCCCAGCTTCAGAGGGGCCTTCAGGACCAGCTAGAGGAGACCAAGAAGTTGAACGAGCTCCTTGACTCAGAGCGGAGAATCTACCAGGACCTCATCAAGTCTTACAGGGATGAGCTGGGAGCCACAAGGTCAGATGGGGTCAAGAATAGCTTATGATTTAGTTACTGTAAGGCCACAGTAAGTAATTTTTATGGATGACATCAGCGCACAGGTTAATTTTCGTCTGATTTTTTGGGGGAAAAAACAAGGAATTTTTTTGCCTTTTGACAGTGGTCACCATGCCGAAAATGGGCAAAGATGTCTGTTGTCATGCCGGAAGGTGGATGGCAGATAACTATGAAGAGAGGAGACAAGAAAAGGCTCTGATTTAATTGTTTCTCACTTTGACGCAGTGATATGTGATGCTGGCTGTGTATATGTGATGTTCCCACTGAATCAAAACCATTTGTACAATGATTGAGTCAAAATTTAAATTGTATCTAGGAACCTTCTTTTTTTTGGCCTGCCTTATTTTTTTTGCCTGCTCGCATTAGATTTGGGGTCTGCAGAGGATGTCATCCATAAAATTTTCTTGCTGTGGCCTAATGATGCTACATTTTTTGTACCTTATACCTATTTTTTTGTACCTATTTTTTTACTCTTGAGTACCAGTTGTGAGGACAGGTCACAACTGGTCTCTTGTTTTCAAGTGTGACTCATACATACTACATCCCAAGACCCCATAGATACAAAGCAAATTCCCTAATTACTACTTTGCTAGTATGTACCATGTGCGTATGTACAAAGGCTTTTGTTTTACATGACATTGTACAGTCATAGTAGAAAATGCAGGGCTTGTCAATGGAGATTTTTTTCAAACAGGAGCCTTTAAAGATCATTATGTTCAGACAAATGTCACGTTTATATAGTTTTGACCTACATTGTAAATGTATAAGCGAAGGCCACACCAATTTAATTTGTTGGTTCACAGGTCATGGTTGTTAGAAGAATGTTCAAAGGGTTGATTTTTAGCAGAGAAATTCTCTTAACGTCTTACTGTCTTGTCTTTTATTACAGAGATTCTCAGAGTCGAGCGTTGGACATCGAGCTAGCAGCCGTTCAGACACTGCGCAGACAGCTGGAAGACTATGTCAGGAGGAACAGTGAGCTACGGGCGGAACTGGAGAGGAACATCAACCAGGCAGCACAGCAAGGTCAGGAAAAAAATGTGGATTGTGTCTCAGATTTCGGATTCTTTTTTTCCTTGTTCTTTTCTTACGTGTCAGCTGAAGTGATCCAATAAATACAAGAAATATCATTAAACAATGTTAAACTAAAATGCATCAGGACCAGAGCTGTCTTCAAGACCTGTCTCTCCATTTGCTTGCAAGGAAGAGACAAATACAAATGTATTTCACCATATTTACTCAATGAAAATTCGCTTTTGAAGGTGTGTGAAGTAATATTTCTGAGGGTTTGAAATTCACATTGAACTGTTTTATGCCCTTGTTAACCCTTTTACTTCTGTTTTACTTAGTGTTGGAGGCAACAGATTCACTACGAGATCGTCCACGAGTCCAGACCTGGAACGCCGCTCTACAGACGAGTATCGACGACCTGAGGCCACAGTTTGAGAAGAACATACAGACCAGTCCGCTCACCCGCTCCACCGACATCGAGATCTCCCTCCCCAGTCCTCTGGACGCACTGAGCGTCTCCGAGTTCTCCACGGCCGAGCTGAAGAGCGAGGTGGCTCGCCTGAGGGGGCAGCTGCGCAGGATGCAGGCGATAAACGATGACTTACAGGCGCGCTTGAACGGCGCCATCAGCGAGCAGGTCCGATCCATCCCACTCGGGGAAAACGTCGCAGAGCAACAGACTCTCCCCAAACTTGCCAAAGAGGTAGAAAGACTAGAAGCCGAGCTAGACGACGCACAGAAAGAAAACCAAGCTTTGCAGGAAGAATTAGAGACTGTAAGAGGAATGACGCCTATAGCGGAGAAGGGGCTTTTGACAGAAGTGCAGCAGCAGCTGGAGGACGCAATAATGCAGCTGGAGAAGAGCGAAGACGACAAGCAGGCGCTAGAGAAGCAGCTGAAGCTGCGATCGCCCAGCCCGTACCAGGCGCAGATCAAACAACTGGAGAACAAAGTCATGGAGCTCATTGAGGAAAACGAACAGCTCATGAAGGAGTCACCTGGAAGCAGGTCAGACGAAGAGGTGGACGCCATGTCGGAGAAGGACCTACGTATGGAGGTTAAAGGTCTTAAAGACCGTCTTAAAGCTTCAGAGAACCTCGTGGACCTGCTCAAGAAACAGCTAGAGATGAATTCCGATCCCGAGAGCGATACTCCGGGATTCAATCCCGAGCTAATCGTGCAGCTTGCAGAGGAGATCGAGAGACTGAAAGGGCAACTTGAACAGGTGCAGGGGAATCGAGGCGACGTACATGTAAGAGACAAGGAGGAAGAATCCTCTGACACCTCCTCTCAACTGCCTCGGAAGAGCAGGCTGCCCGTACTACAGAAGGGAGTGACAACTCACAACGCTAACGCATCCTTGAGACAGCAGATCGAACAGTTAAAGACGTCTGAGAAGGAACTCAAGCTTCTGAACAGAAGACTACAGGAGAAGCTTACGGCCACGGAGGGCACGGTGCGTGCACAAGCGCAGAAACTTAAATCGTACCGAAAAATGCTGGAAGACGCAGGACTGGTCAAGAAGATTCCGCGCAAGGCGCAGAGCGACTCCAACATTCCCTTGAGCCTCCAGAGGTTCCAGAGTCGCTATGCGTCCCAGGAGGGGCTGGACGATTCGCTGCTGTCGCCGGGGATCTCTCCGGCGGCGTCTCCGATGACGCGGTCGCCGGCCACGAGCCTGCTGAGTCTGGAGACCCTGCAGGAGTACGGGAACACGGACAACGTGGACGAGCTGAAACAACAGGTCGCACAGCTCAAACAGAGGCTGGAGAAATCACGACGTATGATCAGGTAGGTGGCAGTCTTCAACACTAGGATATAGTGTAAATAGTGTAATGTAGATTAAACAAGGAATATCACAGACACGTCACAGCACTCGTCTTTCCATCATGTGACAGAAATATTTGCTGCAGTTAGTCATCCTTGAAGGACAAAAATCAATGTGTAAAAGAGATGTCATTAAACAGCTTAGCCTACCTGGACCAGCAAAATCAGTCTCTGCCAACTTGATGACAGTCATTATTCACAGAAATTTTTGTCATTGATATTACATGTATATTGTAATTACATGTATCTACAACTGAGGAGAGATGATAAAACTGCCAAATGTTCCAATAGGAACTGGAATAACCAAGTCATAACCAATAAGACATACAATGTACTTGTGACACTCACGAGTGTAACAAAATATTTCATATACAAATGTACATCTGGCAAATTGATCATGAGGTGACCTCTCTACCCTTTACATACATTTGTACATGATTGTATATATTTAGAGGCATTCCCAAGGGACCCCAACAGCATGACCGATTTCTCAACAAGACTACAATTATAGCAGCTATGACACTGATCCCACAGCTCTGCCAACTTCCATCTACACGTGTACATGTATGTAGAAATGCAGACTGAATTATAACATGCAAATGCCAGTATCTGACAGACATGCAGCTACTCTCTCATTGGTCGAACTGCTAATTACATTAGCCAGCAGTAAAGGTCTATCATTGGCCATGACCTTCAGAGTCAGACACCTAAATGTTTGTCACCCGAGTTGTGTAATCCGATCCTACCCCAGGGGGATGGAGTCTCCGATGCTGTTCTGTCATTGGTTGAAGTGCTAATTACATTAGGTAGCAGTAAAGGTCTATTATTGGCCATGACACCTAAATGTTTGTCACCCAAGTCCCGTAATCCGATCTTACCCCAGGGGGATGCAGTCTCGGATGCGGGGCCGATCGGACGGCCAGCTCACGCCAAACCGCTCGCTTGCACGCTCCTTGGAGACGCTGTCCGAGCCCTCGACCAATCAGGACGCCTTCGAGAAGCTTCGGCAGCAGGTGGAGGATCTGAGACAGCAGCTGAAGGAGAGCAACGACCTGAACAAGACTCTCGCTGTAGGCCATTGTCTCTTTCCATTTGTCATGACGTGCCCATATAAGGAGCTAATGTTGGATATCTGGGTGATAACTGTTAATGTTATTAAATACAACAGTGAAGGGCTAGCCTCTGTGTTGACTAGAAGTAATTGCAAATTGCTGCCAGACAAGTGCAGAAATTAATATTGTGAAGATTGAGGTAAGGCAAATTTCAGTTGCATGTTTTATCTATTTTGACCTTCTATATAATTGCTGCCTAACACTGTAACACTTTGAGAATCGGTAGCCAAGTGGCTAATTCAGTGTGCTAAAGGTTAAAGTAAGGTTAGACTGAATTAGCTGTCATTTGATTATATAAACACAGTCGTGTTGCTTTAAGCGATTGAGAATTGAGAATACATACTGTATATGTAGCTGTTCTAAAGTAGCCATTTCATTATGGAAATTGCTTAAAATCTATTTTCACAACAAAAGCAAGGTTTCATTGCACACAACTCCATTGTAATAGAAAGAAATTGACATGTTGGAAAAATGTGCTAATAGGCCCTCCTACTTTATACTAATAAGCTAGATTAACAATGTTGAAGAAAGAGGAATAAAATAATCTCTTTGTCAGTCAGTCTCAAAAGACTATGAATTAAATGATTGTGCTTTACAAATCAAATTTGAGCTCAAGTTCAAATACATACATGTAAGTCCAGATTCAAGTTCATGAAATAATACATGCAGAAGGTATCAATGATAAAATATGAATAATCAAATAATTATTGATATACATGTAAGTTGAAATGAGAACTGTACATAGTATTGACAACATTGTCAAGTTAGACTTGTTCAAGTTTACAAAATGTCAATGCCTGATGTCCCAAACAGGACCAGCTGTCAGTGTCACCGCAGAAGGACTCCCTGGTGCAGGCGCAGGCCAGGGAGCTGTCACAGCTGCGCAAACAGCTGCGGGACAGCCGGGAGATGTGCCACCTGCTGCGGGCGCGGCTGGAGGAGCTGAGCCGCACGTTGGAGCACTTGCTGTCTGCCAGCGAGGGGGGGGACCCTGAGCTGTTGAACCTGACTCAGCAGGAGGCAGAGGGGGTGATGGCAGAACTGGAGCGGAGCATGCATCTGGCCAGAACACTGAAGGACAGACTGGACGGTAGGTTAACACTAAAACGTAGTTAGTACTAAGTGATCTTGACCATAGCAACACAACGTCATTGTTGAATTTGGCATGCAGGGCTCGAATTATATTGCTTCTTTTTGCTTACTTGCACCGGTGCAAACAACACTCAATATTGCTTGCTCTTGCTCATAGAAAGATTGAGGTATTTTGAAAACAAAATGTTCCTGGTATAGCACAATTTTCTGCTGTGGTACATATGTATGTATGTCCAGCCGTGACATACGTTTGGCTTGGTTACAATGTACATATTGGACATACATGTATGGCTCTAAAGCCACATTGATATCATTAATATTAAACAAACATGATTCTTTTCTTGAATTTGAATTACATGTACATTGTGTAACTACAATGTATAATGAAAGCATGTGTGTATATATGAGAGTTTCTTTAGACTTTTGCATGCCGTACAGCAAGCTAAAAAAACACATGTACTCAATTGCTCAGAGTTGGACTTTGTACATGTACTATGTTTACATGGTATGTCAAGGAATTGTGTGTTTGAGTCAACTTTGACAACACAAACAACTAAGGTCACAGTATGGCTTTTTGAATATACATAATATATACATTATCAAAATGACAACAAATGTGTTGGATGTAGGGATATAACCAGTGGAAGGGCTGTTACATGTACATGTAGAGGCTTGTTGTGATTCTTGAAGTTTTGAAAAGAACATTTTTTTAAATAATATTTTCTTTCCGCCCCAGATAATGCCAGCTCTGCGTCTGATGACTCCTCGCTGCGGAGCCTGAAGGACCAGTACCAGCAGAGTCTGCAGGCCAATCAGGCGCTGCGACTACAGCTGCAGGATCAACTCATGCAGCTGCAGGACAGACCCAGGTACCAGCACATCTCTACTCAAACCGTGTAATTTCAAATTGGGGAAATCTTTTTACATCTCAGATAGAAATATTGTTTTGGGCTGCTCGGGCATATGGGGAGTTTGTATTGTACATTTGTAGCTTGTTCCTGAGCAGAGTGGATTGGAAGCGAGTGGGTGGGGATTGGGTGTCAGTTGATTGACGGGGTTGTGACCCATTATGCCCTCGGTGGTCTAGTAGGATGTGGTATGAAGTTATCAGGCATGTACACTGTATACACACTGTGCACTGCGTAGTCACGATATAAAATATGGTGGATGTAAAATACGTCATACAGTTGTAAGAGTAATAATCCATTCATACTCACTCACTGTCCGGTTTATCGTCTGTTGTTCCCCGTCTTCCAAGGGTTAGACGTTCTATGATGTATTTTAATAGGGTATTTCCCCATGATCATACAATTCAGTTCCAATACATTAACTAAAAACCCAAAACACCTAGAAAATGAATGGCTTTTGTTCATTGCTTTTAATATCAGTGTTGAAGTAATATAATCATGGCATTGTGTCTTTCTCCCTGACAGCCCCACACCCCTGAAGCAGGAGATAGCTGAGCTGAGGTCAGCCCTGGAGGAGCAGCAGGACCAGTACCAGCACCTGAAGCAGGTGAACCAGCAGCTGCAGGGACAGGTGGCTGACGCCCAGCACCTGCGACGCCAGTTGGCTGAAAACCAGCGCACAGCTATGGAGCTGAAGGATGAGTTAGAGAGGTGAAGATGAAAGTTATAATCTACTAAAACGGTCACAAATGACACTGAAGTACAACAGTTTCTGTTTCAGAAGTTTAGTACATCTTTTTGTCATTGATAATGAATGCTGCATTCTACAACTGAGGAGAGATGCTACATGTATATGTGCCCACTGTTTTAATAGAAGCTGGAAGAACTAAGTCTAAGTAAAACATACAATGTACTTGTGACACGTGTTGAACATGGTGCACGTATCTCTGTTCCTCAACAAATATCTGCTATATACTAGTAAATGTACTGACTGTACATCTGGCAAATTGAGCATGTGACCTTACTACATTTTGTACCTTCACATACATGACTATGTTTAGAATCATTCCCAATGGCCCTCAACACAGCATTACCATTTGTCTACAACACTGTCATTTAGAGCAGCTACATGTATTTTTGGGCTTGACCTACAGACACTTAATTCTGTTGAAAAAAATACAACAGTTCTTGACAACATCCAACAAGACGTTTTTACAATATAAATGTATAATTATATATAAGCCCTTATGATATTAGGGAACATCAAACTTTACAAATGGTTTGATGTTCAATATTATGAATTTGACATTTTTGTAATCTTCTATGTCATTTCTGTGTAGAGCAACCAAGGATGCTAAAGAGAAGAACAACATCATCAGCCGCCTGCGGTCCCAGCTACGCAGAACGCGGCCCGTCGGCTCCACCTTCCCGCCGTCAGCCTCGGACCAGGCCAGCACCGGCTGGGACAGCGACCAGTCCAACCAGGAGGCTTCTGACGACCTCAGCGGCACGCACAGGGTCGGCAGCGGCCGCTCAGCCAACCACGGCTCACAGACCGTCAGCGGGAGTGACGACAATCTGGGGGAACAGCCGCGGCAGAGGGCGTATCCTCCCAACGGGGGTGATGAGTACTCCTTGGAACAGCCTGGGCGAAACAATCCCGCTTCGAGCGAGGACAATTTTATGTTTGCTCCCAGGGAGAAAGTTCTCCCTCCCAGCATTCACAGCAGTAAGGACGACATTACCGGGCGCACCCGTCTCCACGACAACAGAGGATACTCCTCCGACGAGGAGTCGACGACCAGCACGAACACCTTCACCTCCGTTTCGCGCCACGAGTCGGACCATCCCGAAGACAGTGAGCAGGACAACGAGAGAGGGATGTATCCGTCGCGCCAACTCCCGTCAAAGTTCTTACAGGCGTCCGCCGGACACGGGTCTACGACGACGGTTTCCAGCAAGTCCACGGGAACGTTCCGGGAGATGGAGCTGCTGCAGAACCGCCTGCGCGCCAGCGACCAGATCAACCGCTCACTGCGCGCCGAGCTGGACACCTACAAGAAGCTACGGGAGAGCACGGAGACGATCAACAGCCACGGGTCGGCCTCCACGACGTCGGGTTTCCATGGCGATGGAAGGGGGCGGGACCTGCTGGAGGAACACCTGGCTGAGCTGCGGGCGTTGAGAGCGAGGCTGGAGGATTCGCTGAGCTCCAACGAGCAGCTGAGACAGGAGTTAGAGGACAAAATCTCCAGCATGAGCAACAGAGGTCAGCTAAAAACGTCTTAGAATATCAATGTCGATTTGACTTCCCTAGAACACATATTTTTGTAGCTCTACCATAAGGGGCCCTATGCTGTATTTTAGGCACCAACATGTGTACATGCTTTTAACCAGCATAGAGGTGTTTCTTTTGGGGGAGAACCAAGTGTGACCCTTCATAATTCTTGAATAAAATTATCATCTGGCTTCAGAATAAAGCTACATGTACATGTACAAATGTATAACAGGGAAAACTTTACTTCACGAAATTTGGCCCTCCAAAAGCAAGCAGATATTGTCTTAGAGGGTTAGGAATTTGGACATTTTCTGGGCAGATATTTAAGACCTTCTACTCAGGTCATTTCTTGGGACTCACAAAGTTTGCCTTCTGTACCTTACTGTGCATGTATGCTGTCAATGTGTACATGTTTACTATGACCTTATTGTAAAATATAGAGCAAAAAGAAAGGAACGTTTTATACAGAAAACTCATAACCTTGAGGGAATCACTCACTCACTATCTTGTTGTCAGTTGTTCCACGTCTCCTGAGGGTTAGACCTGCTTGCATACTATTGCTGAAGGTTGATGGCAGCCTGCCATTTGTCTCTATCCTGTTTGTTGACGTTACGTTACAAATCCTAATACTAGTAATAAACCCTGCTGTGTGATTGGTTCCTCAGGAGGCCAGACCAACATCTACGTCCACAGTAACTCCGGCGTGGACCATCAGGACTTCCCCGATAACGACCTGCACGGCTCGCACATGTCCGACAAACTCTCGCTACTCTCCGATAAAACCACCCAGGTGGACCGCCTGCAGGCTGAACTGGACCAGAAACACCAGGTGAAAATACCAAATTAGTTAATTCCAAAACTTATTTGATTATATCTTAAAGGCACCCAATATGTAATTTCAGGTCTGTAAAACTGGATTTTCAAAGTAAATTTGTTGGCATGTAGTATGTCGTATTTTGTCATGTGAATGTGATATGTAGTAAGTTGAATCAACTCTTCCCCATAGCACATTGCTATTTGTGAGGCTGCTGAAATGCGATGTCGGCAATGGAAAACAGTTGCTTGTGTCATATCATAGACTGGTTCTAGTTATTTATTGGTGGTACCAAAAAATAAAGAGACTCCTCATGTAGCTTGTTTTTGGACTATTTCAAACGCTTCAAGTATGAAAAGATGATGACAATGTGCTAAGTAAAAAAATGGCAGTCTATGCCAATATATCAGACAGATTTCCTCATCCAAAGTGTTTTTTGTTTTGGATGTGTTTAATAATTTGCAAGTTAGGACTTTGCAGTTACAGCTTCTCACATACATTCAGTACAAATGCAGTACTATTGGCTCTCTCAACAAGACTAGTTGATGTAACCACCATTTTTTTTTATCTCAGTAGATATAAAGCTACATGCCTTCATAAAGTCACAAATCTGTCAAAACATGTCAAAAACAGCTACATGTATCATTCCAGTGCTTGATATAGAAATGTGTGGAAAGAGTGGAACGTTACAATGTTTTGGTTGTTTTTTTACTAGTCGCAGTCATTTAATTGATATTCCCTTGTGTTTTCTTCAGATCAATGAGAAACTAAAGGCTGACATGTCCCGGCTGCAAACCCAGCTGACAGAGAAGGACAAGCAGAACCAGCAGGTCCAGGCAGACAACACCCGCCTCCAGACAGACATGTCCAAACTCCAGAAGCAGCTGGCCGAGCGGGACAGGCAGGTGCAGAAGACGCAGGCCGAGTTCACGCAGCTGCAGGCGGACCTGGCGCGGCTGCGGGGACAGCTGCAGACGGACGTGTCGCAGCTGCAGAACCAGCTGGCAGACAGGGAGAAGCAGGAGCAGATCCTGCAGACGGAGGTGGAGAGTCTGGGCGCCGAGCTGGCCAACAGGGACATGGAGAACGACAAGGTGTCCGCGGAACTGAACAAGGCCAAGAAGGAGATCAGCAGGTTTGTTTGTTATGTTTCTTTGTTTGTTTGTTTACACAACGATAGTAAGAAAATAACACAACATAGCTGGCAAACAGGGACATGGAGAACGACAAGGTGTCAGCGGAACTGAACAAGGCCAAGAAAGAGATCAGCAGGTTCGTTTGTTAGTTAGAGTCCGTCAGCTTTAGATACAACGTCGCCAATGTGTTCTTTTCGAACCCCACTCTTGTTGTACATTGTGCATGCATGTTCATAGCTTTATTCTATAATATGAGCACTTTGCAGCTGTAAATGCAGTGGTTTTATGACAATAACACAGCATAGTGCTAAAAAAATGTGCAGGAGGAGGGAGAAAACCTAAGATTGTTTATTTATTTATTTATTGTTTATTTATTTTGCCAGGACAGACTTATTGCCTTCTGGTATTTTATGCTGATAAGACAACTAAATATCCTCCTATATACTAAGTAAACATCGTGTTGATACGCAATGTACATTGTAATTCAATAAAGAGTAATGAATCTCTAGTTGTTCATGAGTTGGGTTTACAGCACCTCCTAGTGAGAGAAACTGGTACTGCAGCCAAATGATGGATTATTGAATTTCCTCAAACCCACATTTCCTCTTCACTGCAGACTGCGGCAGGAGTTGTCCAGACTACAGGACCAGCTGGAAGAACACCAGCAGGTGGCCGACTCCTTGCGGCTGGAGCTCAGGCTGTACGAGAAGCTGTACAAGAAAGCGCAGACAGCTGAGGCAGGTGTGAACGGGTTCAACAGTAGCGACGGTACAGGCGGGAGGGACGCCATGGCCGGTCTGGACCTGTCCGCACTACTGGAGGAGATGCGCAGACTGAGAGAACAGGTAGGGAAAAAAAGTAACGTCGCCAATGTGTTCTTTTTGAACACCACTCTTGTTGTACATTGTGCAGACTGAGAGAACAGGTAGGGAAAAAGTAGTAAGAGTCGGTCAGCTTTAGATGCAACGTCGCCAATGTGTTCTTTTTGAACACCACTCTTGTTGTACATTGTGCAGACTGAGAGAACAGGTAGGGACAAAAAGTTGTAAGAGTCGGTCAGCTTTAGATGCATCGTCGCCATTGTGTTCTTTTTGAACACCACTCTTGTTGTACATCGCGTATGAATGCTCATATAGCTTTATTCTATAATATGAGCACTTTGGCAGCTGTAAATGCAGTAGTTTTATTTTCACAATGACCTCACATTGCAAAATCATAATGCTGCATCTAGTATATGTTTTTGTAAGTTTACTTTACAAAAGTATAATAATTTCAGAATAATTTCAAACGAAATCTTCGAAAACATCATTTTCCCTCCTGCCAAAAATAAAACCACTACAAAGGTTTTTGCAGGCCATAACATGTAGACATTGCATGTAGCAATATCAGAAAAACCCTTATAAAGTACATGTATTAACAAAATATATGATTGTTTTTGGTACAAGTTATATATACATAACTTTGATAAATATTGTTACACTGAAAAACTCGGAAACCAGGTTGTTAAGAATGCATTGAAATCCTCTTTTTCACAGGTGGAGAAGTTACACATCAGTAACAGCGCCCTCCGGCGGAAAGTGAAGGAACTGCTGGGGAAGGAGGAGAGCCCCACAGTCATTAACATCAACCACCACCACGGGCACAGGAGCCCTGCACAGAGGGCACTCTTCCAGGGGGGACAGGGAGGTACGCTTGGCATAATACAGTCTCAACATACCTTTACTGAGAGATGGCAGACTTCACCCCCTTATCTGTACTGCCTTGTACCCTTCCAGTTCCACAGACGAAAGACAGTAGCATTGAGGGTTGTATGGCATTGTGGCACCCGTGTACAGTGGGAATTGCAGAAACACACACATACACATACACACAGACTAGCCAAAAACAATACTTGATGATGATGAAATGGTTTATTGAGGATAAAAACCCTGGCAGCCTTACATAGGCTGAATTGTGGTTCTTTCACAATTCAATCATCTTAGACAACATAATACAGAATTCTTATCACGTAGATTAAAACAGGAATGTACGATCATTCAATATATTAAAATCAATTGGTGACTACATTTTAAAACGTTTTACTTATAGATAAGCTATTTTATATACATGGAGGCCGCACGGAAATTTACATGTTATCATTTAGCAGTCGTACGCAGAAGGGAAAAGTGCTGTTCTGATACCGAGCAGTTCTGCATTTGTACTGAGTAAAAGAGTTTCTGAGAGTTCTGAGGTGAGTATCACCCCGTCTAGGTGGCAACCATTCACGGTACTTCTCAGAGTTCACAAGTGAAGTTGCGAATCTTAGGCACAGTTCCTGTCGTCTAGCGTCAAGACGGCTGAGACCGGTACTTACATGTGTTGAGGCTTACTGATCCCACTGATCCCAAAATGCAAAATTTTTCTTAGACATGCAGCCAGTCTCTCATTGGTCGAACGACTATTTGCCATTCTCTGATTGGTTGAACTGCTAATTGTAATGAAACTGAAACTTTATTCATCAAAACAACATTGCAGGCTGAAACAGCCTGAATTGTGTTGCAAGTCACATGTAATTCCATATTAATAATAACAATTGTAACATTTTAGCGTTAAAAAGATTTAGTGTTAAAAGAAATATCCGATAATGACGTATTGTATAAAATATCGATAACACATTAACAGTCAGGACAGTCAGGATTGATCTATGATTCAACATACATTGTACATGTACTTCAAAATATGCCACAAATTTTAGCTGCATTTCAGATTTAACTGACAGTTTTTTTTCCTGTGCACAGATGCCTCGCCCTCTGACGTTCACCTGTCGGGTCCGTACACGACAGACTCCGCCCACTCCTCACCCGCCAATCATCCGCGCCTGAAGACCAGCCCGCTGACGGGACACCTGGCTCGATACGCCTCGCTCCCTGTCCTGGACAAGGACGACATCGACCTCTTCTCCATGCAAGGTTAGCAGAGAAGGGAATTTCATACATTGTTTATGGGTGCCCTTATTTGTTCAGGGAAGGAAGTATTGTTTTGGGTGGCACTGGTTTAGTATTAGGAGTTTGTATGTATTTTGTCCACAGCAGCAAGAATTGGAAGTGAGTGGGTGGAGATTGGGCTAAGTTGATTGGCAGGGTTGTGATCCAGTGTTCCTTGGGTGGTAGGATATGGTATTGGGCCGCCATGTATTTCCCCTGGGATGATAATACAATACAATACATTCACAGTGTTGTACAATACAGATCCAATACATTCACAGATACAAAAAAAAAACTTCCCAAAAGTGTTAAATCTCTGATTTCTTGTCTTAACTATTGAGTAGGGACAAAAAGTTACATACTTAAGTATTAGTGCAATTTAGAAAGATTGTATTTTTAACTAGATAAGTGGAAACATTAGAACATTGAATCTTCAAGGTACTCACATACTTAAAAGAATGTCATTTGTCCACACTGTTAACACAGCAAATCAGAGATTGCTTTGGGCTGTTTATCAATTTGGGAACCTACAATGTTCATGTGTAAAGAGGTATAGGGAAATGGACATGATAGAAGATAAAACATATGTAATTTCTTCTTCGTTTCTACAGGAGTGTCTCCGCTATCCACGGCTGACATTGACATCCGTTACCGGTACGTGGTGGGGCGGATAGAAGACTACGACGCCCTGAGACACCAGGTGAACGACAGCCGACTGGCCGTACGCGGCGTGCAGTCCCGTGTCAAGGATCGCTTGAAGGCACTAAAGAAGGCACTAGACTCTACACAGGTACTGTATATTCTGTAACAATTATACAATGTAAGTCTACACAGTATTTGCTCTGGTGCACTTGCCATATTCAAGCATGAAAAAGACCTGTATTTTGTAAAACGTAATAGTAGTAATACATGTGTATAAGATTAGAATACACTGAAATAATTTTATGTACACACACTGTACATTCAAACCTACCTATTTTGACCACACAAGGGACTCAAAATACTGGGAGAAAATGTTCACAATATTTGGTTGGTGGGGAAAACAATATAAGGTACCAGCAAAAAGTGTCTGAATGGCTACATGTATGATCGAGGGGTTACTGATTCAATCCCTGGCATTCCTGGCTAGGCCTTGTGTCCTTGGAAAAGGCACTTAACACGACTTTCCTCACTCCACCCAGACGTAAAATGGATAGCTGACTTTGTTTGGGGAGGTAAAAGGCATTGGAAGAAGAGGGATGGGCTCCGCCTTCAAATACCATGCCCTAGACACAGTGGATGAACAGCCCACTGCCCCTACAGCTTCACAAGCCATGTTAAGAGTTTATCCTAACTGATCCCCTTTCCTGTTACTGCCTAGCCCGGGGACCAGAAGCCGCTTGAGGACACCCTGAGTTCCCTCCACCTCCTACATGACCACCTGGAGGAGTGTAGCCGGCTGCTGAAGCTGTTCTGGAAAGCCCGGGACCCAGGCTCTGTTCCCACCTCTACTGGTAGTGGTGGGGATGGCACAGCTATTGTGTTTCTGGAGGTAAGGTTCCAGGCTATAAAACTCCAGAATACTCCATAGAAAGTTTCCAACTCTACTACTTGATAAAGAACAGAGAACTTGATTGTACACAGTATGGTGGCAATTATTTAAAATGAATAATTGAACATAGATTATATGAAAATATAAAACATAACAAAAATGTATTATTGAACATAGCACAAAAAAGAGATATAGAACTAGAAAGATAACATTTGCGAAGCAAATGCATAATGTTTACCTTCGCATATGGTCTGCTCTGTTACTTCTAACTCAAACACATTCATATATACATGTATGATCAGACAGTATACGTAGTCTAAATCTCTCCTGCTATAATTTTGAAACATGATGTAACCCAACACCAGTTACCATGGTGAGAGACAGTCTGGTCAGGTCATTGACCTTATTGGTTTGGTGAAGAAGAGGAAACAGAGCAAAAACAGTATGTTTTCCTTGGGTAGACATGATAAAACTTGACATCCTAATTGCTAATAGTCTATAAAACAATTAGGGATAGGCTAAATACAGAGAGATTTTGAGATCTTTGATTGGTAGGTCTTGTAGTAATGCTTGTAAATCATTTTCCTTCTTCAGAACCAGAACTTGAAAGACGAGATCACCAACCTGAGGAAACGGTTAATGTCTCAGGAGAAGGTCATGAGGTCTGCTCTTCACAAACTGGAGGTGAGTAGGGATGGGGGGTCTGTATCTGTATCTGTATAGCCGGTATAACCGCCCTTCGGCATAACACACCAGCTAGGCAGGCACACGGCGCGGCGGCAGCTGGCTATATTACACCGATCGACTTGTTACACCTAACCCTTGAACATTAACTCTAGACATTGTTTAAAGCTACCTAATGACAATGCCCCTACTGTACTTGGTGACAGCGAGTTCCACTCTGCGATAGTTCTAGGAAAGAATGAATTCTTGAACACCTCAATCCTTGGTTGATAACTCTGGTACTTGAAGGCATGGTTATTATGGGTTCACCACACCACGAAGTGGTGGTGAACCCATATTGCTTTTTCTGATGTTTCTTCTTCTCCTTCTCCTTCTCCTGCCATTTTTTAAATGGATTCAGCTTCTTCATTTTAGGGCCCAAGGTCCTGAAATTTGGTATGGAGGTACAGTGGGCAAATACCCCTAGGCGTTTTTTAAATTATTGTGATACAGGCTTTTAGAATGGTTTTATTTGAGTTTTTTGGCTGTGTTATAGCAAATGTATTACTGTGTTAGTGTGCCTTGTTTACCACGTTTGGGCATTAGTCATCACAATGGAATGCAGGGCATCAACCAATAGGCATGCAGCTTTCCTCTATTCTTCTTGCTGATTGGCTGTTGGGATTTAACTTGATCAACACCTGCACAGAGCATTTCCACCTGCACAGAGCATTTCTTGCTGATTGGCTGTTGGGATTTAACTTGATTAACACCTGCACAGAGCATTTCCATACTGACAGTATGTCTGTATTCAAGTGTTTTGGTAGGTGTTTCAAGCTTTCCTGCTCCAGCATTGGAATGCGGGGCATGGACGTTTTTTTTTATTTTGAAAATCAACAGTTTGCATTATGCAATTAAAAATCCTAACCAATAAAGTAGGGAATAGCTATCCAACTGTTGTTTTAGTTGTATTTTACTTCATATTATAGTTATATCAATGTAAATCATTGTTTTCCCTTGTGTTTCTCATTCTTTCCCTGCCATGTCGTAAAATGTGGTGAACCCATCGCTGTATTTGCTCCAAAGCAAATATTGGCCTTTCTAGTTTCTTCTTCTCTTCTGGACTGGTATTAGTCTAATGATATCCACTAGATTTCTAGCTGTAGGAACTGGTGTGTACATTTTTAAAATGTACTTGCGGGATGGAAAATTTAATATTGTTTTGGGTGGCTCTAATCTATCCCAGGTTTGTATGTTTGGGTTCCAAAGTGAGCAGGTGAAGATGGACTAACATTCAATCTTTTCTTACAGAGAACCAATAGGCTGAAACAGGGCATGGAAGAAGCACTGGTGAAACAATGTGAGCTCAGTTCATTATTGAAACTTTGACAGTATTTTTTGTGTTTCTAATATGTGTAAGTTGGTGTAATGATCATAGACTAACCTGATAAAATGAAATATATCTATGTTCATATTTGATCTTTATTTTTTGTGTCCAATTTTTCAGTGTCTAAAACCCACCATGTCCTACGACAAGCAAGGGGAAATTTGGAGGTAATTATACATTTTTGTAAAGCTTAAAGTGACATACTTCAGGTCCACATTTGATTCTATACAAATTGTACAACATTCATGTTCAGAGCTCTGCTGGCTCAAAACTACGACTTGTAGTTCGATTGGAAGCTTTCCATCATACAACATGGTTAAACATTTGCAACAGTTTGAAAATACTGTAAATGCAGAAACTTTAGCGGTGGATTTATTTTTTGTATATCCATGAATTCATGATACAGCAAATTGTACTAGTACTACCGTAACTGTACAATGTATTAGAGAGTTGTTTCAACTACAAATTTTAAAAAAAACTCCTTTTCACCTACTATGAAATATAACCCCTGCAAAATTAAGTGCATTTACAGTATGGCTTCTGAATCCGTTTATTCTGACTAACCTTTTGTTGGGACGACGTTGCCTTATCTCTCGTTCCCTCCTTCCAGTTCTCCGTGTCTTCGTCCTCTTCTCTCGATCAGTCGCTGACGTCATCCATGGATGACTTCTCTCTCTGACAACCATGTAACCTGTCTCCTTTCTTCTCTCACGCTTTTCTCACCTATCTTTTTACAAATTAGGCCATGTTGATTTCATTAATAAATGGATGACATCCTCTGGGAACCTCAAAACTATTTGCGTGCAAATAAGAAAAAAAGGTTGGCAAAAAAAAAGTTGCCTTCATTATGCCTTCATCTACGTGGTCATGAAGATTGAACAAATGACTAAACATACAGAGTATGCTATGGTGAATAATAGAATCTTTATTTTTATTTCTTCACATGTTCTTCTTTTCCTTTGGAATTGATTTTAGCATTCTATATTTATTTGCAATTTTTGCAGTTGCTTTGTACGATTTACAGTATTGTCGAAAACTTTTTTTTGGAAACGGACAAAAATTC